TGGCTCAAAGCAGTTTAGAAACCATTAAGCCTGACAACACAACCTGGAAACAGCTAAAGTACATTAATAAGTAAAGCAGGTCCTAGCCCTGACACTTATTTACTGTCTGATATCGAGCAAGTCTCAAATCCTCCCTGGGTAACGATTTCTATACTGCTTAAAATTAGTTTAATATATACTCACGTTTGAAAGAAAGACGATGTATGAATGCAGTTACCCTCATTTTAGAAGTGGGGAAAGAGATAAGAAAATAATCTGTTGCTTCAGAATTACTGAAACAGTCTGGCAGGGCCAACAAATAGAAACCTGGAGCACTGATTCCTGTTCCCTTATTCTGTTCCCATACGTCATGGATGGATGCCAGAAGGAGAAATCAGCCTGTGCCCTATCATATGTTATTCTCTGACTTAATATGTGCAAATATTTAGTGTCTCAGTGACTGAGCTGGTTACTTTTGTGCTCACGATTCTTTGCTCCAGTGTTCTAACAAGGCTGGGCTGCAGTAGAGCAAAAATACTCACGGCCATTGGGATTCCCTTTGCCGAAACAGCTCACTACATAACACACATACACACACACCAGTAATGAACACATGCATGCACACATACATAGATGAATGCCTCCTTGAATAAGCATACATAGACATCAAACTGTCATCATTTTCCTCACCGTCACCTGCTCCAAGGATGTAAAGCAGCTGGTAGTTCAGCTTAGCTGCAGCTTGTGGGACATGCACAAGTTCAAAATTGCCTGTCTATTTCTGCATGTCTCCTATGATCTTAATTAAATGTTTGTCTTGCCCTTTATAAGCTCCTTAGGTGCTGCCAGAAGAATCTTCTTATTAGGCTGTATCAGGCTTCTTTGACTGTGTTTTTTTTTAATTAAACATAAAACTTGTACCAAAAAATTGCAGACAGATCATTAAAAAGACTATTAAAGGAAACATACTTGGAGCAGTGACAATATAATTGCATTTGGCACCTGAATCCTTTATCTGGGGATCTCAGAGCACTTTACAGAGGTAGGGAAATATAATTATCCTTATTCTGCAGAGGGGAAACTGAGGCACAGAGGCATTAAAAGGGAAATTTTGAGAAGCACTTAGGGCAGTTAGGCAATGGGAATTGGGCACCAACTAATAATTCTTCCATTAAGAAACTTGCTTAGATCACATAAAGGTAGGGTAGGGAATACGACATAAGCCTCCTGGCTTCATGCAATCCGTGCTCTAACTACGAGTTTAGAAATAGAAACACTAGAAATGAGAAAAGCTATTTTTAATCCTTTTACAAATAATTGGGATGTTTCAAACATAATTCATCCAGACTGCTGTGCTGAGTATCTAGACTATTCCTTAGAGATTTGTCAGTACCTCGATAAAACTAGAAGCTTCAAGCTTTTCTGAAACAGAAGCCTCTGGGCTCAAGAATGCCAACTGGGTGGAATACATTTGTTCTTTAGTTTGTGGGCACAATAATAATTATAATATAAACTTTTGGGGAAGTTGCTATAAGGCAGCAGGCAATGACCTCTAGATTCTAACTATCTAGGTTCTTAAAAGAGGAAAGCCAATCCAATGGTCCTTTCAGTGAAAAATTAAACAAGCTACAGTTTTTAGTTATAAAGACCTGATGCAAAACCAATGTTTCATGACTGTCTCAAGAGCAGCCATTCACTAATGGACACAGCCATGCTGAGCTCATAGATGACAAAAAAATTACAGCGGACCCAAACAAGTTCTTTTGTAACAAGGCCCCCACAGCCAAGGAGGAGGCGTGGGATTCGCCATCACCATGGAGAATTTCCTTTTCACCCTGTTACGAAATGTAAATGAATGCATCGCCGTGAATCCTGTTAAGTTTACATGGCAGCACTCAGTTGGGCTATAACAATGGCAAAAGGGGTTTAACATCCCTAAAAAGGGTGACTGTATTTTTTCCATAATCTGGAATCCTTGGAGCTGCAGGCAGCAGCATTACAAACATGGCTGGGTATCATATCTGAAATGCTTGAGCCCAAGACAGCATAACTGAGCACAGATGATTGGGCTTTTAAATTAGCAAATTACTAATGATTAAGTTATCCATTAGCAGGATAACTGGCGCTGCTAGCTAAGAAATTGCTAATAACTAAAAAATCCAAATGGGGACCACATCCAGGAAAGGCACTTAGGGAGATTCCAATCTGCAGGCACAGGCCTTTCAAATTCCAACATATCTTAATATGGGCTATTAAACACTGGGGTAAATTAGCTTCTTGAGGGTCCTCTGGGATTTCCCTGTCGTCCATTTGGTTCCCCATTCCTCATCCTCTATAGCCCAGCATGTTGTCAATAAGCCAGTCACCAGAGGAGAAACTGGTTTGGCTCTTGTTGGAGTTCAGCAGTTAGCCAGAGGTAGATTGTTGGGAGCACTCCTCAAATATCATTGCAGCGTGCACAGAACAAATACTTACATACCGATGGGGAGGAAGGAACGCAAGGCATTTCTTCTCCAAAGGGTCTGAGCAGGTGAGTTCCAAAGACTTAATGGTCTTGTCTCGCTTGACAGCCAATGTGTAGAATTTAATACTCATGTAAATGAAAAGCTGTTAGCACCAGCAGAGTGCACATACGTGTCATGCAACTGATCCCAACTGTACCCCTAGCAAATCCCTGTCTAAGGTTTTTGCTTCTGACTTGCAGAAGCCCCTACTATTCTAGTCGCTGGTCCTCACCCATTTTTGCCAATATGTTTAGTCATCATGTGGAATGTCTATTCAAGCCTTGGGCCCTCACACAGCTCTGCCAATGGACCTTAATCACAAGCAATTACTTCCCTGTTATTCCTGCCATCCTCTCTCCCTTAGCCGCATCAAAGCAACTCACTCAGAACCTGCTATCGCCAAGAGTCTCCACACACAGGTACATCTCACTTCTAGTCCCTACTATTCTCATGCTTCACATCTCCTGAGAAGACAATTTGTCAAATACTGTAGGGGCCCCATCATTTAATGAATTATCTGCAAAGGACCAGAACAACACCAGGAAGCTTCCTTCACATGTGATCAGTGTTCATGTTCCTATCCAACCCTTTAGAGTTAAGAGGGCATCTAGAAGATATTGCACCTTTACTTTACATTTCTAGTTTTAAGTGACAGAAAGCAGGGCTGAGAAATCTGCCTGGACACACTGAGTAACCAGAAGCAATCACTGAGCGTTGTATTGACTCTCTGATCTATACGAAATGGGTTCTGTGAGCTTAGGTCACTCCTAGCGGACAGATGTCCACATCATAAAAAGCCATCTGTATAACTGGCTCAAAGTCTCATTTATTGTGTGTTTCAGTAGAAAGGCAAATGATTACATGCAGGCTAATGTACTGTACCATCAGAGCCTCACCAAAAGAGATGAAACCCATTGCTGCATGGCAGGTGAGGAAACGTTCACCATTTCTGACCTGAACGTACCCATTCTATGGTTAACAGTAGGTAGACACCGGTCCATAGTGACATTGTGTTTGTTTATGGAAGTGCATCTGTTACAGTCAGAAACTGAGATCAATGTGGCACCTTGTTACTGAAAATATTTGTGCCCCACATGTCCTTGAATCTGCTCTGTAGGTTTTATGGATCAAACACTTTTGTTTGCTGTAGTTTCATGGAGCCGCATAGTTACATATGAGAGAGAGATGGATTCTATCCTAATTCTTGTATCTTCATCAGAATTGCCAGCTGAGCACTGACTGGAGAATGTTTATTGCTGCTGCTGCTGCTAAGATAGGCAGTAATATCCAGACAGATTTTCAGACCCTGCATTGAAGTTTGCAGCAAAGGCTATAAATCATGTCTTGCTTTAATAATTGAGCACATTGGCTTGATAACCACTGAAAGAGAGTAAAGGTAGAACTACCTAATGTTATTTTTAAAGTATCATGTCTCTGGTTATAGGCTATACTGTAAATTATTTACAGCTCCATTTACATATGACATTAATAAAGATATTTGAAAGTGTTAGGGACAGCAGATTAGACAGAGACACATATTTTCCTAGATGCATATGTCCCTCAGATATCATTAATGTATAGTCACTTGGCTATTGATTCATCACTAGTCCATCCTCCTATTGTCTGTATGGTTAATTATAATAGAACTTAATAAGAATAGTTTTAGACATAGAGGTTTGGTTTTTAATAAGGGCTAAACATTCAGAAATGGAACCAAAATTTCCACAGAGCTCTTCTTCCATTCGGACACTTAAATAAGTAGACAGGTCTCTCAAAGATTTCAGCATTCTACCTCCTGAGTAGATTTGAAATTCTGGCTATTAGTGTCACAAAGGGAGCTCATGAGACCTGAGCATTTTAGCAAATTGTCCACTATTTTGTTGCCTGATTTATGAGCTAAGCTCTTTTAGAAGTCAGTCTCGGCTGCAGGTGGTAAGCCTTTACAGGTTAGCAAATCTATCCCCTGTAGTCAATTAAGCAGGTACAGCCCAGCATTTAGTATTTTCCTAAGCCACTGACAAAGAAATTTACATTGGCCCTCTCCAAAAATTGAAATGAGGATTTAAATATTTCCCAAGGGCTCCGTTCTTCCATCTCTACATGGAATAGTATTTTACCTAATAGGGGGTCCCATTGAAATCAGTGGAACTACTTGCATAGTATGCATATTTATTTGTAAAGGTGGCAGAATCACGCCTACACAATATAAAATAGATGGATCCAACCATTTAGTTGCTGATTTGAATCTAACTCTCACAAATGGAGTGACACTCCAACAAGTGTCATCCAAACTGCATGTTCAGCCAGAGACAAGATTGCAACTTATGCCATTTCAACAGTGTTTAAAAATCTCTTTCCAGTGTTGCACTGACCCCAGGCTTTATCCATAATTACCTAGTATCAAGCCTTAGACAGAAACCTCACCCTGTTCAGATCAGTCATGAGCCTAAGGGAGTCACTGCTGGCTTACACTCTCATGTTTCTTTAAACTTAAGATCACACAATAGTATTTCTTACCCTGACACAATTTCAAAGGGGGGCAGTTCCTCCAGTTCCTTCTTCTTCCTCTCCTTCTCCTTCTCCTTCTCCTCCTCAGTCAGCTCTGCATTTTCAGTCTCCGGCTCACCATTCTGGGTGTTTTCAGGGTTTTCCTGCTTTTCAGCCATCTTGCTGACTATGGCTGTACCAGGTTAAGATCACTAGGAAAGAGCAAGAGCAATGTCCGTGAGCTGTCAAGGAAGAGAGACAGCACAGAGTGAGGGGATAAAAGAAGCAGGGAGTTCCAGCAACAGGCAGAGTTGTCAGGAGCTAAATATGGAACAAAGCAGCAATGACAGAGACTGGATTGGGTAGGATGACCAGAGGACTCTCAGATGTCTCCTCCTGTGCTAAGGCCTTTTAACAATCCCTCTCGCTCCCCTTTTTAATTTAAAGTGACGAATTCATTGTGGGCGGGTAAAGTCATGGATGGAAAATCCTTCAAACAGAAGTTGCCTATTTATCCACACAGATGGCAGAAAGCTGGCAACGGGCAGGGATACCCCCCCACTGCCTTGGTTTGCCAATGCACTATCAGCCTGACCTTGGAGGACCACCCTTCTAGCAAAGGTGGGAGTGGAGAGAAGGAATCCCCCATCCATTCTATTTAAAAAGCTGGAAAAGTACATCCGTTCTAACCCACGTTTCCATGGAGGGAACGTTGTGAACTGAGGATCCCACTCAAGTCCACGGCACAACTTCCACTAATGTCAATGAAGCCAGAATTTCATTCCAAAAGTTTTGAAGTCAGGCCCTGTATAGTTGTGGGCTGTGTTGATTTACACCAGTTCAGGATTTGTTTCTCATTCCCCACAATTTTTGGTGAGCTACTAGGCATAGACACCATTCCTTCCTGAATGTCCTGAAGGCCCATAGTGCATGTAGGCGCAGCTACAGAGATAGATAATAATAAATAATGAAACGATTCCAATTTCTCCATTATTTAATGGTTTTCTCCACTTCTGCTGTTGCCATGAGTGCGGATGCTGGACTGGTAATTCCATTAGGTGGAAGGCAGGCTAGCAATCAAGAGACTGGACAAATGGGGACCTGTGTTGGGGTTGAGGATCAGGACTGGAGTGTGCCTGTGGGGCCTGTGAAGAAGGTTGTACAGAGGCAAGCAGCAGTGGGGCTGGCAAGAGGGGTCCAGGACTGATGTGTACAGTGCATAACAGGGAGAATACTGGATTGATCCAGGAGAAGTTCTCTTATGGTGCTGTCTGTATTTGGTCTGGGCCACTTCAGTGTAGAATTCCTCCAGAATAAAAAACCCAAGGGAAACCAGACACCCCCAGAGCTGTCTGGTTTTCATGTAGTCTCTAGAAAACCTTATTTTTTCCTGTTGACCATTGAATGAGACTTGGCCACAAAAACATCTTGTTCTGAATTTAAACCACTTAATTCAAATCCAAGGTGTTATTAGAACTTGAATAAAGATTCTTCTTTGGAAGTCATCCTGACATGGCGTTAGGATGGGAAGAGATAGGACATTTGTAGATGCTGTGAACTTGTGTTTTACCCCTCCAGAGTCTCTTTTACTAACAATCATCTCATCTTGCCACAGCATCTTCAAGAATCCCAAGGCCCTTCACAACTCTTCGCACACAGCACCCCTGAAATGCAGCCACCTCTGAGGCAGGGATCACCAACCACCTTCTTACACCACAGTGTTTGCTGAGACCTGGTAAGATATAGTGATTTATTTGATGACTTGATACTGGGGGTGGACTGTGTTGTGACAACGAGATAATAAAGGATTTAAAAAGTTCCGAGGCTGTCCGTCCATGGGACATACATCATTTTTTTATGTTGCCTCACAGTTCTTTAAAAAAAAAGAAGAAAAAGTTTGGAATACTTTTCCTGGATCAAGAGTATAATATTGTTTTTCCCCTTGGCTGGTAACTATGTTCAAATTCCAGGTCCTCTGCCCAATCACTCTCACCTTTGACATTTCAAGGGGTGAGTTTTGGGATGGGAATCCTCTGCTAATGAGTGACAGCTCTTCCCTTTCCTCCCTGTTGTCTAAAAAAATCCCATCCCCTCTTCTGTCCCTCTGACCCACTTTCTTTATTTTTGGAAGCTCTTGACTGCTAGATTAAGCAGGACCCATCACTCCTGCAGCCTTTAGCTTTCACTGGCCCGGTCAAACTGCGAAGATCAATGCTGGGCTCTAATCTAATCTCTGGAATGCGGTGCTGAGACTGTTGCTCTCCAGCCATTCCCCAGCTGCTGCACAGCTCCATCTAGGGCAGTGCGCTAAATACTCACAGGCCACCCCCCATAGCCTGTGCCCGGGCCAAAAATATAAAGGGACGCCACTGTGATGTGGTCAGTCTGACAATGGCATTAAAACCTTAGCGGGGAGAAAAGCTTTGATCAGTTTTGTCCGTTTTTTTTTACTAGCCATAGCTCCCCGCAAGTGTATGTATAATTGCACAGAGCGCTGCTGAGCCCTGCGTATCAACTTGCTTTACCTTCAGCTAACTGCATGAGGGCATGTGTTCAGCAGATTTGTCAGATGTATAGTTATCCTCACTACGGGGCCATCCCAACTTTGGTCAACTAAAGTCAATATGCTTTCCAATCAGTGGGTGTGTCTACACGTGTGATTAAAGCACATGAATAAACTCCGGAGCTTATTTTTCTTGAGTTTTTTGCTCTGGGTGCACCCAGGAGCAAAACACTCTGGATCATATTGCTCTGGAGTTCATTTGTGTGCAGCATATGGTGCCTGGTCAGAGCAACCTGGGCTGACAGGGGACCTGGGGGGTCAGCCTGCCAGCCCAGGCTGGTCCGGCCAAGCTCCACTTGCTGTGGAGTGGCTGGTTGAGGCACAAGGGTGCTTCAGTGTGGGTACTGCCTGCCACCAGCCCCACACTGAAGCACCCTGTGCCCCAGCCAGCCTGCTCAGCATCTACACATGTGCTGATGCACATGAAAAAAACTCCGCAGCAGGGTAGTACTTGTACTGCTGCAGAGTTTATTGGTTTCACCTGCCCTAATAGGAGTGTGGGTGTAGATGCCAAGACATTTGCTGCACAATTAATTAGTCAACTTTGCAGTAAATGTCTCATGTAGACACACCCAGTGTGTCTTTCTCAGGCACCTTCCCTTCCCTATAGTTCAATGTTTTCTTTCTTTAGCTATGAATACAAAGCTGGTCTGGTAGTCCCACACAGTGATGTCTCAGTTTAGCTCCAGAACTGGCATAGTAGATCTGGATTATCAATGGGTCAGCCCCAGCAAAGCTACGAGATACGGGAGGTTTTGGATAATGGGAGGAAGCTGAGGGACAGGATTTGGGTATGCTGGGGATAGGGGCCTATGACAGGAAGAGCAGTGGGGTTACATATCAGGAGTGAAGGGCATCAGTATTAATGTGCAGAATCTTGTCTAGAATAACAGGGATGTGGCAGGTCAGCAATGAGGGGCACTGGCAAAGCCCTGGTTGGTAGCAGGGGCAGGACAGGGAACGGCTGCAAAAAAGATGTTAGAAGGGAACTTAAGGTGGCCTCCAGTTCTGGGTAGGAGCTGGACACTTGATCCTTTGGTTTTGGGGGTTTCTGTCTCTGAGTATGAGCCTACATCCATCAAAGTCCATAAAGAGTTTTGCCATTGATGTCTGTAGGAGCAGCATCAAGCTGTTACATGCATCAGCTACAGAAACAGCACAATCTTTTTTTAAATATTTGTCTCCTAGAGAAAAATTATTATGCACATGCAAACCCTTGAACCATTCTCCCAGTCAGGCCCTTGTCTGGAGTTTTCCAATCCAATAGGTTTTTCTTCTGAAGTCAAACTATGTGCACGTGGCTGTTATCCTGTTACGATCGTGAAGATGACATCTTCTACCAAGGTCTTCCCCACTTAAGCCTCTCTTCAAGACATATACTTCCAAAAAGTCACTCATCAGTGGGCAAAGGGTTATTCAGTTCTTATTTGGAGGCCAGATCTCAGGGCTTTGTTTTTGTCTGCAAGAACTGAGAGAAAAGGAGAGCTGCCTATTAGATCAAACTTCTGATCCACCAAATCCAGTATGCCGTCTCTGCCTGTGGCGGCTGATATCTGATGTTTTACAGATAAGCAGCTACTCCCTCCACATCAGCTGGTCAATTATGCTTTGCTGAGGAGGAAGAAATTAAAAGAAAATATTCTTTCCTGATGCAAAGGATCAGCTTATGCCCTAAAGCATGGGATTCAGTCACTATATTTTTAATTGCACAATTTGAAGGGGAGATTCCAAAGACTGGGAATGGGGTAGAGGAGACCTGGCTGCAAAGGATCTTGCTAAGGACAGGATGTTTCATTGCATTCTCAGACTGGAGGAACCTTTTTGGGCAGATCCAGGAGTGAAATAAGACCGTGGCTGTGTTAGTTATAGCTCTTTATCCCAAGGGGACAGCTGGTGGTAGTAACAAAACATCTCCCTAGATACATTGTCTGGCAACAATCCCCTTTCTGCTTTTTCCAGCTGTAACTACCGTTACAGGATAAATAAATAAAGTCCTGTTGACAGTGATGTCAACAGAGCCAGTTTTCCTTCCCCCAGGTCCCTTGGCAGCTCCCTCCCTTTTCCCCCTGTGGGGCCATGGGGCACAGATTTCAGAGGTGGCATATCACGTCAAAGAGAAAGGGAAGAGAGATGGAGAGTCTGGGGGCATCCTGATCCCCTGTAATAAACCTTCTCCGCTTGTGTGCAGGAGGCTGGTTTCCTGGCATCTCCTTATCTCCATATCACCCTGGCATTGTCTCCTTTCTTGGCCATCTCAGGAGATTTGAATCTAATCTTATTTATCATGTCTATACTGTGCTTTTCACTGTAATGTCTGGGTGTTACATCAAAGTCTCAGGCAGGCAGACAGACACATTGACAGGCTGAGCCACGAAAACTGAACCTCTTCCCTTGAGTCTCTTCCTTCAGCAGAGAGAAGTGGTTTATTTTAAGAACAGCATGGCAAGGAGCTTGCGTAAGTACTGCCTGTGCTGAGCTTGCTGGGCTAACTTCTGCCCTCAGCTAGAAGGGTGCCATCCATTGTGGCTCTCACAGTGTTGAACCAGGGAAGCTTAAATCAGAATATGGCCCTTTCAGTGGGTGCATGGAGTCCTTCAGTCTCCAGGACTTTTTATTCTATTCTATTCTGGTTTGCAATGTGCTCATCAGTGTAGTTTCTGAGGGCCTTCCAGTAGTGCAGTGTGACTAACATCTGTCACGTATTTGTTCTCACAGCCTCTCCCCAGACAGAGGAGAGTATGCAGGTGGCTGGTTTCTTGTGAAATGCACATGCACACAGACACGCATGCACACCAGACATGCTGCTCTATGTCTGTGTTAGAGAAGGATGGACACAGATACGCACCTTGCAGTTGGAGCTCAAGATGGCAAGGTTGGGGATGGT